CCCTTCCGTGCCACCCCCTCGCACGGCCGAGCCCCTGCAGACTGTACCCCTGCACCGCCCCTGCCCGGGCACCATGCTCTGCGCGGCTGGATGGGGGTGCTTAGGGCCCGGGTGGGTCCTTCTTCCATCCCTGCTGCCGAGGTAGGGAGGGAACAGGCCAGGACGGGGCATCAGTGTGGCAGGGGCGACCTGTGCCCCCAGCAGAGCCCATGGGGCGTACTGAACGCATGAATGAGCCATTGCAGGACAGAGCACCATGCCAAGGGGCTGGTGAGCCCAGGGCAGCACCACTGGCCAACAGCTGGCTGGGCTCCAGCCCCAGGCCAGGGCAGCGCTAGCCCTGGGGCATGATGGTGACACTGGGTGCCCCGTGCCCAAAAGTGGGAACTCGGTGGCCTCTGCTCCTGAGCAGCGGCACCTGGCAAAAGAAGCATTAATGCCAGTGCCCCGTGCAAAATTTGAGAGACAGACCGGTAACGCCCAAAATGGTGGCCGGGAGGATGAGGGGGTTCTGGTGTCTTGCTCGCTCTCAGATTTTGCACGAGGTTTTGGATGGTTTTCCCCAAGACTGCCTGCCCCACAGAGCCTTGGGGTTGCTGTTTTCCCCGGGGCGAGTGGCGTTTCGTCAGCCCTGCACGCTGACCCTCTGAGCAGTGTCCAGAGTCCCTTTGTCCCGTCTCTCCTGCAAACTTCAAGAACCCATGCAAGATGCGCGATGTGCAGGGCTATTTTTGCCACCCTCCTGCGTTCAGCCATGCCTTCTGCCAAGTAGGAGGATTTTCATCGCAGTGACGTTCAGCTGAAGAGCATGAAGCGAGAGGCAGGTGTCCCTGTGGGTGACAGATGGGTAGTAGTCAGAGCTGGGTGTCACCAGCCCAGCACCGGCAGCTGATGCCAGCTCTCTGCCTGAGGCCATGGGTGGGAGGAGGAGGAGGAGGAAGGCACAGAGCCAGGATGGGCGTCCTCGGGGCAGCTGGCACCGGGGACAAAGGCAACAGGGCTGGGGAGGCGGGGGGAGCCCCACCGAGCATAATGGACAAGGGGACAGCAGCAGCCTTGTCCCACCCTGTGCGGGGACCCCAAGGAGCAAGGAGTTGCATAGACAGTGGGCTGGGGAGGGGGAGCTGATGGTCCCCTCGCAGAGGGATGCTGGAGGCTGTGGGGCCAGAGGCATGGCCGGAGCTGAGGACATGGGGAACAGGAGGTGGGGGCTTTGCCACGGCTGGTAGCAGGAGCCCGGAGCCAGTGGGGATGGGGGTACAGGGCTGGGGCATGGCTGGCCGGGGAGGGCAGCACTGTCAGTGGCATCTAGCAAGAAGTGAGGATCTAGGAGAAGTGCCAGAGGCAGGCTGGCTGTAAGGTGCTTGGGGTGCCTGTTCTGAATGCCTACCTCTGGCCAAAGGTAGGCAGGTACTCCTGTCCACATGTGGTGCCTGGAGGAGAGGGCAAGGTGCAGGGCATCCCTTAGGGATGGGCCTGAGATCTGCCTCCACCTGTGCCAGACCCTCCTGCACCCTCCTGGCCTGCCCAGCTCCCTCCTCCTGAAGGTGGTCAGAAGAGGGCCCGTGGCCACGCATCCTCTCTTGAATGCCCAGCCAGGGCACCGGGCTGCCCTCCCGTGCCTCCAGCCTCCTCGTGCTGGGCAGGGTGTGCATGGGCAGGGCACTGTCCCACCCTCTGCTCCAGCTTCTCCTTACGGGGCCAGGAGCTGGCTTAGTGATGTCTTGGTTGCTGCTGGGCTCTCTGTGAGAGTCATCCCAGCTAGGTGGCCTGGGATGAGAGGAGCATCCCCAGCTTCCCAGGAGGGGAAGAAACAGCTGCTGGGACTGGCTAGGTTCATCCTCTAAGACCTTAGGAGCACCTCTCCACCCTGGCTGGGCATTACAGACCCCAGAGTGCCCTGGCCCTGTGGGATGGATGGGCTCAGTGGACTCTGCCTGCTGTGTTGCTGCCTCCTGTCCTAGTCCAGGCAGTCGGGCTGGCTCGTGTGCTGGCCCCGTGGCACTTTGCACGCAGAGGCCATCGCTGCGGCAGCTCGCCTGGCCCGCATCCCAGCCCATCGTGTCCCTGGGAAAGGCAAGTGAGAACATGCTGTTATTTGCCTTGGCACAGGAGGGGCTTGTGGAGGGCCAGGCGGGGGTGGCAGGGGTCTCTCCCCTCCCCGAGCGGAGGCAGGGATCTGGCAGCCATGGGTCAGCAGCGTGCGACTCAGTGGAGTTTCAGGGCAAAGGCTTGCTTCGTATTGGTGGGGAACTTGTTGGTGCAGCTCCTGCACTGCTGGTAATAGCTGCAGGCTGGCGATAAGGCCGTGAGAAAATCCAGGGAGTCCCAACGGGGCTTAGTAGTTGAGCAAAAACTAACGGCATGGAAAATGCCATTGCTGCAGCTGGGGGAGAAACACCCTTGCAGAGATGGGCAGGGAGGACTTGTCCCCCATCTGCAGGAGGGCCCTTGTTAGAGGGGGACCAGTGGCCTTCAGGACCGGGGAGGGCTCTTCTACCAGCCCTGCAGACACGAGACCTCTGTGGTTCCCTGTCCCCAGGTCTCACAGTGAGGCTGAGCGCACGTTCCCCTGTGCACACAGGCGTCTGCACATGCATGGCCGGCCACCCAGGGCAAGGCGCGTAGGGCACAACACCCAAAGAAACTCGCCCAAGCGTGAGCAGCACGGGCGGCCCAGTCCTGCCTCACCTCTCCAGCTGATCAGAATTGACGTCTGCTAGTGGACTATATATATATATAAAAAAATAGTGTGTGTGCATGTATAGATATGTATCCATACATATACGTGTGTGTGCATATGTATACCCCTATATACACCCAATATGGATGACTCCAGTAGCAGGTGTCAGTCTAGCCAGTAGTTGGCTCCCAGCTGGGCAGCAGCACAACCCCTGGCCCTTGAGACTTCCCCCATTTAATAACATTGGGTGGTTTGAAGGTAGGCAGGGCCCGAAGGATGGGAGCAAAGCATGCCTGCCCAGCCCAGGTGGGCTCCAGGCAGGCTCAGGTCTTGAATTTTTGGCTTGGGACCATCCAGCCGTGGGCTCCTGCATACGAGTCTCCCCGGGGCGGACAAGTACATCCATCCAGGCCAGGCCGTCTGCCTCCCGGCTGGCTCCTTGCCCGCCCTGCTTTGGCTGCTGCACCAGCTCTCGCACAGGCAAGGTGGGAGCCAAGCGGGGTGCTGTGGACCTGGGGAGGGATGGGTGCTGCCACCGCTGCGCCACGCGCTGTTTACTGTTTGGGCTACAAGGCGGCTTTGTTCTTCTCCTCAGGACACTCTGAATAACAACTCTCTGGGGAAAAAGCACAGTTGGCAGGAGCGGGTGTCCCGGTCGTCATCCCCTCTGAAGACGGGTGAGTTCTCGGGCTGTTGGCCAGGGGCAGCTCCTTGCACCCTTTCGTGGCTCTCAGGAGCCTGGGGCAAGTGGTGCTGGAGCAGGAGGTTGGGGAAACATCCCACATGGATGCAGGGTACATGTCCATCTTGAGTCTGGGTGGCATCCCTGGCCACCTTCCCTGGCAGGGAGCATCACCCTCTGCGGGGCTGTCAGTGCTGCTCTCCTCCCCCTCCAGGTGAGCAGACCCCTCCCCACGACCACGTTTGCCTGAGTGATGAGGTCAATCACCAAAACAGCACAACCTCCACCAAAGACCGGGGCACGTCCACGGAGAGCCCGTGCCGGCGCACAGCGGCCACCCAGATGGCACCTGCCTGTGTTGCCTTGTCCCGGCCACCCGAGAAGCACCAGGCCGCCAGCCGGCCCCCACCGCATGGTGCCAGTGTGGTGGTGGTGACGACGAGGGGCCCTGAGGCCCACCGGGACCGCATCCACTACCAGACAGACGTGAGGCTGGAGGCCACGGAGGAGATCTACCTGACGCCTGTGCAGAAGAACTCGGACCCCCTGGAGACTGACAAGCCATTCCTGTCTCAGTCCAGTGAGAACCGCATGTCCATCAGCTCCGACATTGACACCGGCTATTCGGCCCTGGCAGGGAAAACCAACCCCTCCATCAGCGAGGAGGACGAGGTGCTGGACTACATGTCCTCCCCCGACAAGACGAACCTGCCCAGGGCCTCCTGTGGTGGTGGGAGTGGTGGCTCCCGGCCAGGGCACAACCTTCAGAGAGCCTCGGTGAGTTCGGACACCAGCGCCCTCTCCTACGACTCGGTCAAGTACACACTGGTGGTGGACGAGAACGTGCAGCTGGAACTGGTCAGCCTCAAGCAGTGCTACTCAGGCTACAGCGACGAGAGCGATTCGGCCACCGTCTACGACAACTGCGTTTCCTCACCCTACGAGTCGGCCATCGGTGAGGAGTACGAGGAAGATGCACTGAAGCGCGACTCGGTCTGCCTCTCTGAGGACTCCACCCCTGAGGCAGACATCCACTTCTCCAAGAAGTTCCTCAACGTCTTCATGAGCGGCCGGGCGCGCTCCTCCAGTGAGTGCTGGGGCTGGGGGGAGGTGAGCTGGTGGCTGCCTGCCCAGGCAGCCCTGCCCATCCCTGGTGCGAGGCTGAGGGCACACTTAGGGCCAGGTGTTTTCGTCCCTGGTGGGCCAGGGATGGGGGGGGGGGGCTTGGAAAAGCCTTGCGACCTGCAGGTGGGGGTGGCTGGAGGTGTTTCAGGCTGCTTTTTTGGCTAGCCCGAGGTATGTCTGTGCTGAGCTTGCTGAGGGGAAGGCTGGGTGGTCTCGCAGGGGGACAGCATCCCTCCTGGAGTGTCCCCCTCCTCCCTGAGCCTGGAGGAGCACCGCGGCAGGCAGGGCTTCCTGCGGTGCGGCCTGTCCCACAATGCTGGTGACACCAGCTGTCACAGCTGTGCGAGGTGGCACAGGGAGGTCGTGGTCCCAGCGGGGACCACTGGGCACCAGTACGGCGGCCCTAGCCGTGCCTTTCTCTCATGTGGCACCGTGCGGTTTTGTCTTGGCTGGGCCGTACCCAGGAGCATCAGCAGCCTGTTTGGCTTTATGTCCATCCCTTGGTTGTGGTGCTGACTCCTCAATGCTGAGCTGTCGTCCTCTGCCTTTGTCCCCAGGTGCCGAGTCTTTCGGGTTGTTCTCCTGCATGATCAACGGGGAGGAGCAGGAGCAGACCCACCGTGCTGTCTTTAGGTGAGCTTACAGGCGCGAGCGGTGTCCCCAGCCTCTCATGGGGCAAAGCCGGTGCTGCCCTCCCACCATAGTGGGGCCAGCCCAAACACCAGTGTTTGGGAAGCCCCAGGGACCAAACCACTGCCCATAGCTCGTGCCCCTGCAGCAGCCTGGGCAGATGCCGCTCTGGGCAGGACAAGACCTCCGAAGGCAGCTGGGACCTCTGGGGAGCAGCGTGGGTGGTGCCATAGGGATACCCTTGCCTTAGATGCCAGGGTGCTGACGCCTTTTGAGCCTAAACATGCTCAGATGCTTTATTCAGCGTCTCAGGTCCCCATGGCTAATTACACCCACCAGGGTGCTGCCTGCCTGGGCCAGCGGCGGGTTTTGTGTTGCCCCTTGCCCCAGCAGTGTGCCAGTGAGAAGGCCACCAGAGCTGCTGGTTGGCCAGGTGCTAGTGCCTCCCTGCCCAGGTTTGTGCCTCGCCACGTGGATGAGCTGGAGCTGGAGGTGGACGATCCTTTGCTGGTGGAGGTGCAGGCAGAAGATTATTGGTACGAGGCCTACAACATGCGGACGGGTGACCGGGGCATTTTTCCTGCCTACTATGCTATCGAAGTCACCAAGGACCCAGACCATGTAACAGGTACCAAGCCTCTGTGCGCAGCCTGCTGATGTCCCCCCATCTTGTGTCCACCTCCCCTCTGCTGAGCAGAGCCTGGTACTGAGTAGGGGGATGGAGGGAGGACCAAGCTGGGCACTCAGCTGGGACCGATGGGCAGCTTCTGGTGTGATGCTGGGAGCTGGTACCTGGTGCTGCAGGAAGCCTTCCCTGGGCAGGGAAACATGCGGGGATGGGAATATGGAGCGGGGAGGTGTATCTCAGCCCACGTTCCCGGTCATCGGAGGCGATCCCCACCGCGTGCTCTCTCTTCCAGCTCTGACCAAGAGCAGTGACTGGGTGGACCAGTTTCGGGTGAAGTTCCTCGGCTCGGTGCAGGTTCCCTATCACAAGGGCAATGACGTGCTCTGTGCGGCCATGCAGAAGGTAGTGTCCCACCCCATCCCTGGGAGGGGGAGCGCCTGCTCCTCCTGGCAGCAGGGCAGAGCCTCAGTGGGGAAGGGAAGGGAAAGGGTGAGCCATCATCACTGCTCACGAGTGCCAGGGTTTTGTCTTTCTGTCTCCCTCCCTAGATTGCCACCACGCGCCGCCTCACTGTGCACTTTAACCCACCCTCCAGCTGCGTCCTGGAGATCAGCGTGCGTGGGGTCAAGATTGCCGTGAAAGCTGATGATTCCAAGGAGCACAGCAAGGTAGTGACTGCCCCACTCCCCACTCGTCTCATCCCTTCCCAGCTGCTGGCTCGTGCCCCCTGTGCTACAGGTCATGTTTGCATATGAAAATGGAGAATCTCCACCCGTCTAAGGGTGTGAGAAACACCATCAGCGGGGTTGTAGGCCCACCTCAGGGTCCCTCACGCGCCATGGGCTCCCAGCTTTGGGCCATACCACCAGCTGATGCCCTCGCAGCTGCCAAGTGCATCGCTGCGCCGGGATGCTGCGAGCTGAGCCGTGCCGGTAATCTGTCAGCTGCTCCTAAATCTTTCTGTTACTATTTTGAGTGGTGTCCTCCAGATCTGCCCTGTAATCTCTTTAGCTGGCTATGGCAGGCTGCTGATTAGCGTTCTGCATAAGTAGCCTAGCAAAGCACAGCGAGATGCTGGGCAGAGGCAAGGGAGGGCTTTGCAGCAAGGCTTTGGGAAACCTCCCCTACAGCTGGGGGTAGGAGTCGTTCATGGCTATGGATGCTGTGGCAGGGAGCTGGGCTGGGGTTTCTACAAGTCCTGCCTGTATCTAGAGGATGCCATCAACTTGGTTGCTCTTTAAACCTGTATAAATAAGTTCTCATTTCTGGTTGGGACCCTTTGAACATGCAGGCTTGAAAGACTTACTTAGTTCCAAGTTATCCATTCACCTTCTATCTGCTGGTATTTCTGAGAGCCTTTTTAGCAAGGGAGAAGGGCTGCGTGCACTGGGCAAACAGCAGCACTGACCCTAGCCTGAGTACAGCCTAACCCAGGGCCCCCAGGGAAACCCCACAGGAGCTGCTGGAGGTAGAGGCAGCCGGGGTGGGAGCCAGCAGGGCTGCCTGGAAGAGCACCCTGTGTGCAGGTGCTTGGGACCATCCTGGAAGTGCTTCTGGAAGCAGCCCAGGATCAGGCTCAAATTCATTTCACTGCTCAGCCCAAGTGCATATTTCCAGGGGCCAGAGACTGGCTGCCCCGCAGGGTGGTGGGGAGGAAAGCTTTGACGGTTCGTCTCTCTATCCCCCAGGTAAACAAGTGTAGCCATTTTTTCCAGCTGAAGAACATTTCCTTTTGTGGGTACCATCCAAAGAACAACAAGTGAGTAATAAGGAGGTGCAGGGCAGCTCTCAACACCAGCAGCTTGGCACGGAGGCTTTGCTGCCTTCCCACTCCCTGGGGGCAGCATGACTAGGGCTGGGAAGGGAAGGGGACGCTTCCCAGTGCCTTGGTCCTGAGCGCTCCCCTTTCCCTCTGAGCCCAGCACTGTGGCTTCATGCAAAAGCAGCCTTTGGATGGGAATTACATCCCAGCTCTGGGCATGGGCCATGGCAACTGGTGGCCACTAGGGTTTGGGGGGGGGGGGGGGGGGGGG